ACCTTTAAATCAAACTGCCGGTGCTGTTGGCTTTGACCATGTTTTCTGCACATTTGGGTAACTGATGTAAACTAATGTTTCTTGGACCAGATGAGAATCAGAATAAATATGTTTGTCATTTATGTGAAACTATCATCAATTTAATGTACTGAAATGTAACAGTGTTTGCTAGATTCTCAGATCTAATTTGGACCCTGATAAAGACTCACCTCATCCAAATTACAAAGATATTTTCTCACTTACCCCTATCTAGTCATGCAGATAGATGGAGGTGGAAGACCTTCATTGTTTGTGCTCAAACCAACAAAAGATGACATGGTGATTGGAGCTGAATGTTAACACATGGTATATGCCCACATTGAGAATTTTAACATGTTAACTAACTTAGTTTAGCCTGATAGCACACTAACCCTTGCTAATTAGCAAAAACACTGTGTCCCTACAGTCAGTTTTTGAGTGTGTTGTTGATGCACACTATTCCCTCACAATGCAATTCACAAAGAAAATGAAGAAGCAGCTCACATTTGAAAAACTGTGAACTTAATGTGAAAAAATAACTAGTTTACACATGCAAATGTTTTTTGTTATAGTAACTGCTAAAACAGTATGTTTGGGACACAGTTAAAGCACAACTGAGGCTCATGGTAATGCCACTAGTTTTGCAGGTATTAGGTGATAAACCAAAGTATTGGACAAATTGAAATTTTGACCTGATGATGGTGCTGGATGAAAAGTCAGAGGATCAACAAAGTTATTAGAATTTATCCTGAGGGGGACATTAATGTGTCTACCAAATTTTATGATAATAACAGCTGACAAAACTCAATTCACGCCTTTATTGGGGCCATGGCAGACATCTCAGAGCCAAAACTCTGAGCTTATAAAACCAAAAAAGGGATCTGCACGCCAACAGAGGTAAGTGAGAGAATATGTTTTATTTTTTGTAATTTGGGTGAACTGACACTTTAAGAACCAGAGTAACAGCCAGTGTAATCGAACACCATCAGTGAGAATGAGAGTAAATCACTCTGTCGCCACAGACGGCAGCTTGCGTCCATATCAAAGACAAGACTGGTGGCTTCCCCTGTTTTTACCACTTCCATCCTTTCTTACAGCCTCATAGCCATCTCTCCCTCTCTCTCTCCTCTCTCTCTTTCTCTCTCTCTCTCTCTCTCTCTGGTGCACACACATGTCAGAAGTAGGCCTGTGTTTATAGTGACAGGGAAAATAATTAAACAGGAGATGCAAATCATGTCATCGACTTTAATTGGCTCTTACTTTCATTCCTGACATGTTCAATCATCGCAGAGTCAGTTTTTAAGGCTTTTTGGCTCCCCCACGTAATTAAAGTGTAGAGGTTTACCAGTTAACTTGTCAATACGGTTGAAGACTGGATAATTGAACCTACCAATGAAAAGTCCTTCAAGGTTCTGCAGAGTGTTTTATTTCATGAGGGGTGCCAATTTTTCATTTCTTTCATTTTTCTTTAGGGTTGCTGGTGGTAAGAAGTATGGTGGTGGCCTATCTTTTGGATTCTAAATACGCACAAACAAAGAAAGACAAATCCATATCCATATTCCATTATTCCATAATGAATAATAACCAATATCTGCTGTCTGACAGCTTCTTGGGGGAAGGGGCTGACATGTGGCTCTACAAATTCTATAGGATGTCATGAGATTAATGCACTTTAATGTGGTCTGGTTTCCCCCCGAGAGCTTGAGGGAAGTGACGTGAGCAGCGGCCAGTGCAGTTTAGATGAAGACGTCGGGGTGTGTGTGTTTGCTCAATACATAGATTTTCTTTGTCTGGTTCTTTCTTCATGGTTTTGAAGCTGGGAGGCTGTGGATGCCGCAGTAGGAGGGCATAGGTGAAGGTCCTGCACAGCTGCACAGTGGGAGGGGGAGGGCTGTGGAAGAAAGCCTCCAGGCACCGGGAATGAATTAATGAGGGTCTGATTTTTTATGATTTTTTTCAGCACAAAAAAACTTTATTAATCTTGACATTAAATATAGTGCAGCATTAAAGGGGAATATCATTAAATGTAAAAAATTGCATTTGTGGGTTTTCTTAGGTCTAATGGCAGGTTTATCCATTAAGTTTTTTTGTGATCCTTTCCTGAAATTAAAGAGCAGAAAATGCTTTAACTCGAAGCTGTTCCACTTTCAGTAAATCTCTGCCGAGGTTTGTGGAATGTTATGAAAAACAGCTCATTGAAAACAAAATGAAATTTCCATCAGCTGTTTGGACAGCAATGCAAGATATTAGTAATCCATTTAAGCAAGTATTTAGGCGTTTCAGTGGTGATGATAGCAGGCACAAAAAAATACACTAAATCTTCAACAGTTATTTGTCTCTTTATAGCTTAGTTCTTGTCTTGGACTCTTCTGTTCTGTGTTTAGTCTCTGTTAAACAACTGTACAGTACCAGCTGTCCTTCTGCTGTAAACTCTGTGTCCATTTGCAGACAGCTCTCTACTTTAGACAAATTAATTTTTTCAATGCAGTTGCAAATTAGAATACATGTACGTTAAAGGTTGGCAGTTTTTTAGTATGCATGACATTTGTTACAGCACAGCTTGGGCGAAAGAGCTCTTCAAGATGTGTTTTCAAGATGGAAGAACCAGAGCAGCTGTCTAGGGTCTGGTTTTTCCATAAGCAAGCCCCAAATCGTTGCATGTTTTATTCTTAGGAATATTTGTGGTGTGTCTGTTTAGAGTCAATGGGAAGAAAAATCAAACACTCACAATCTTTGATTAAAAAAAAGAAAATAACAGCTGACAGTGCTCATGTAGAGGCCTGTATCTGGAACCAAACAGAAAACACACATGCACACAGTCAGTGCAGTAGAACAGTGAGAGGTATGCGAATACTTTGTAGTTGTATTCAGAATCCAAATCTGTTACACAGTTGGCAGAGTTGATGAAATATTGATTGAATTGACCTTTTTACTTTCCTAGTCTTTCACTATTCTACCCTGAGTGAGTTCAAATATTCATATTCCCTTCAGGTGATTGGTTTGACGTCAGAAGACTCAGCGAAGGGAAGATTAACAAAATTAACAGGTTCAGTCAGCATGAAATTGTAGCAGATCTAATGTAGCAACAGCACAACTTCTGCATCCTCAACGTCACTTCACAGAAAGATCCAAAGTCAGAGTTTGTGACAAAACAGAAGAGAGACGAGAATCTTCACAATTAGAGGATGAGCTAATAGCAAAGGAACTGCTTCAAGGAGAGTATTAACATTTAGATTTTATGCCAGGTTGTGCAGCATTGCAATATTAGCTTCTGGTCTTACTTTTTAAAGGTCTTTGAGGCAATGAGCTGTAATGGGATTCAAACAGTAAAAAATCAATAGACAATCTCAGTATGACCACACACTAACCTTTTAAGGACCCAAATAATCCTTCAACAGCCAATGGGAATTGGCTATGCACTGCACTTCCTCATTGCCTGTTGGTTTATGAGTTTGTTGTTGGACCACCATCCTAATTACTTTCCATTTATGCCTACAGAGAGTATGTCAGTGTTAAACAGCCTCGAGCAAGAGCTGTTTCATGTGCTAATCATCGATTAAAAAATCCACCAACATATTTGCACACACTGTTCCATTAGGGACTGCAAAGAATTTGAACAAGGCCAGATGACTTCCAAAATATTGTTGTGGTTTGTTTCCTTTCCATGTGGTTATAGCTGCAATCATTGATAATAATGGGTGAGTTGAAGGGCACGGCAAAGCTTATTTGTTTGTTGGTTATTAAGAACGGCATGCTGATTATCAAGCGTGGAAAATATATTGTTTGGTGTGGTGCCAGTCAGCTGGTGGCGATTGATGGATAACACTTCCTTCCAGATTGACTAGATATTTGTTTGAATTATGGATCCCACCAATTCACTAATCAACTGGACAGAACTGAGATACTTTAAAATAAACCAATTTTAGGCAGTTATATCGAAATGGATGTCTGGCTTCTTCTCAGCCCCATGTTGTATAGAAATGGAAAAAAACAAAACATCTGGATGAATTAGTTATGAGAGTATCCACATGTGAAGTAGACCAACCATTATAAAATATTAACATTTCAACACACTGGATGTAAAAGGTTAGGTTGCAGTGCATTGCTACAGAAAATGCAATTTGGTCAACCTCGGAAGAAAGAAGAAAAATGCACCAGTGACTTTGTTCCTCAGTTCCATTATCATTAATGTGTCATTTAGCAGTCAAAAGCCAAGGCAATAATAGAATTACTTTTCCTATTAGACTCAATGTCATTGAGCCTTACAGTGAAAGGGCCGAGTGCACATAATGGGAAAGGAGAAGACAGAGAGAGCATTGCAAGAGTCCAAATGTCACAGGCGTACGAGTTCACACCACATGCACACACCCTGTTTTGTCAGTGACACAACAGGAACAATCTATACGTACGTAATGAGACTGTCAGGGCTTTATTGTAGCCAATATGTCCTCCCTGTCAGAACAAACTAAACCATCACAGGAACTTAATACAGTAGCATCTTTGCTTTTTTTTTCCTTCCCTGTGTTATCTCAAAGCAAGGTGACTGACATTTTTCAAAGAGGAAACCAGATAACACACAACACCCTGGAGCATATTTAAGCTTCCCAATTCAGACTGCACATGCACACATATGAATACAAACAGATTTCTCAGCTCACTGAAAGCAGACACACGTGCACCTAACCACAGCTTCTAGCACCTTACTAGCACACAGACACAGCCAGGACTCTGACTGAATGCAATCTATTGCCATGGCACCCAGCGTCTAGATGACCGGTATCTGTAGTAACTGAGCAACCTCACACCACTTCATCACTCCAAAGCACAAACTCAGCTGCGAGCCTCTCCTCCCAGGCTGCAGTGGCAGCAATGCCTCCCGGTGTTTGTCCACCACTCTGCAGAAAAAAACCAACGTCCTTTCATCCTTTTGTCTTATTGTGAACCACTATCGCCTGCTGTCATAAGAGAAAGGAGGGACTCACCGTGCTTTCCCCCCACGGCAGAAGACAGGAGCCAGGTGGAGCGAGAAGAGGCTGCAGTGGCGGAGGAATCCCCCTGGTAGTGTATGTGTAAGAGTGTGTGAGAGGAAGCGTGGAAGTGTGCGTGTATGTGAGTGCATGTGTGTGAGTGTGTGTGCATGCAAGTGTGTGTGTGCGCGTGTGTGCAGGGAGTCAGAGCTGATCCAGCAGATGCAGGCGGGAGCCACCAATAGAATGAGGAGAAGGAGAGAGAGAGAGAGAAGAGTGTGTGAGAGACAGAGGGAGGGAGAGACAGCAGAGGAAGGGTCTGATCAGCATTACATCATGGACTATGGGAGATGGTAGGTTTGCAGGGGTGGGCAAGGATGGGGGAAGGTGTGTTGTGCATGTGTGTGCGTGTTGTGTGTGTGTTATTGTGTTTGTGTTTGTGTCTGCATCACTGTATATTCTCCCTCTGCAGCGGACCACCAGGATGATTAAAGATTGTGTCAATGCTGCATACAGTGCAGTGTCGTCCATGGTACCTGCACCTGTGGTGTGTGTGGTGTGTGTGTGTGGTGTGTGTGTGTGGGTTGTAAACATATGAAGAGAACAATAAACAACGGCTATAATCAAGAAGGGATAGATAATCACACCACATTTTAATAGATCTTGTGGCCAAACCTCCTGGTAATCTATAAATAAGTATACTCACAGCTTTCATGTACAGATACATTCCAGAAGCTGATTTTCATCCCCCCCCCCCCCCCCTATTTCATGGATGTCATACAAGCTAACATATTGCTGTAGATGGACATTGGGAAAAGAAAATCTCAATCCTACCCCTTCCCACCCCAGGACACACACTCATACTCAGAGAGCTACCAGCTAATGGCCCCCTTGTCAGTTTAAAAAAAGCTCTGATGGACACCCTGTTAGGAAGTCACTGACATTTCAGGTGAGTGATTCCAAACACTTTCTGCTGGGATTGACATAGCACATCTCTAAATGGAAGAGAAAAAACAGACTTTTTTTTACCCTATAGCAGCAGCAATCACCTGTCTTTGTGCAGCCTGCCATCCCTAAAAAGGAACAGAAAGGGAGAAGGAAGGAGAGAAAGAGGGAGTGAGAAGGAAGGGCGTTCGTAGGAAAACAATGACAGCTCAGGGTCATCCTTGCACCTCTTGCTCTGTCTGTTCCAATCTGGCACCAGACAGGCAGAAAACGAGATAGGAAGGATGCAGGTGGCAGAAACACGTAGATAAGGAAGTGTTTCCTCCCAGCTCTCTTCATTAATTTTCATAACTTATGTTTGTGTTTAGCCCCACAGGCTTTTACTTATAGCATGTTTTTATGTTGCACTCTCACTCAGGATACCACCATATCTACCTCATGTCGCTTCTCTTAAGAGGCAATCACATTGCAAAGTGACATTCACTCGTCCACAGAGACTAGGCGTGGCCCGAAGCTTGGTGATATAGTGACTTACATGCAGGGCTTGGTGAAATGCTGAAGTTGGCGAGCTAACCGTTAACTTGCTAGCTGGCTGAGAAGGGTCTTTCTGCAGTCTCGTGGACTACAGGACACACATACTTTAAGGAATGACACGCCCTGAGATAACTGGATTACCATAGACCTCTGGCAGGCTTCCGCTAGCCAGTCACAATAGCACTTAATTTGTTCTCTACTGTTGTGTTTACTCCCCCCTGTTCACCACTGTACACATCTGGTTAAATATGTTTTTCTTTCTTTTTTTTTTTAAGGGAAAATAAAGCTCTACAAGCCAAGCGGTTGGTTAGCAAATTCATTAGCTCTTTGGTTCAGCTCATTTGCTAACGGCACAATAAGTTCATTCAGTTTATTCAAAAGATGCATTTGTACCGTCAGCTCCTGTCTCATGTAAACCATGTCTCTTTTGTGGAACAGCGTTTACTTTGACAGGAGATTAATTAAATGGTGCAACATAGCTAATAATCTACCTCCCCTTTTTTGTACTCTCTGACTCTCCGTCTCCTCAAAGATCAACATTGCCAAGACAGCTTGCTATTGGTCAATGAAGCCAATTTGCATGACAAAGCTCACCAAAACAGAATTTTTTATCCTCGATTGGATCCTCAAATCACGTCAGTTCCATTGGAATAAACTGATTTCATTACAACATTTGGTCCCTTTTAAATCTTGGTATGTCCAGGCCTTTAGAGATTTCTGTCTAAAGTTCATTATATGTGATACTACAGTATCAGAGTGGCAGAAGGACTTTGTTTAAAAGATAATAAGCAGAATGATCCGGCAGTGACTTGGGTTAATGCATCACTAACACAGTTATTATACCTGCAAGTACAGGGGGAAATCTCAGTAGGAAAACCAACAAAAAAGGTTCCATTGAGTTGGAATGATTATTAATTTATCTATTTACAATATTTCTGGCACCTTTGCTATTATACCAGTGCTGCCAACCAAGCTTTTCCTGCCAATATAAATTTACGAGATATTGGATATTTACACACCCCTTCACTTAATGATTCTCACTGCTGTTTCAAGTTAAGGCAGATTTGGCCATAATCAGTATCTTGCTAGAGAATGGCCTTCTTTTATGTCTTTGTCCTCTCATCTCCCACATTGGAATTGCTGACTGGGAACGCTCCATCTATCTTCTGTGAGGTAGGCTGTCAAAGATCAGAAAAGTGCCTCATTTGGAGTAATTTCAAGATATTTGTCAGACAATGCAGTTGGAATGTCCCCCAAAAAAATACAATTCAGCAACAATTCAGTCGTGGTCATAAGTTCACCTTCGTGTAGCTATTCAGAGGAAATGCAGCAGATTTTTGAATTCAGCTCAACAACATTTCATACATCAGTTACATTGACATGTTCATGTGTTTGGTACTAATTATATATTCTTCACCTCTTCTTTTGTAACCTGTTCCAAATAGGTTTGACCTTTTATTTGTCACAAGCCATTAGAGATACACATGACTCACTAAATGAAATGTGACAAAGGCTAATGGACCTGTGCCCACATGTGAGAGGATGTGAATGTGAATTTAGGCTACATGTTGCTCATAATGTGTACTTGCTAGACCAGTGCCTGTTTATTATATGAACCACAGTTAAAGACTGAAAGTGACATTAATATGTTATACATTTGTTAACTCGTCAATTTAATCCAGATAAAATCAGGGGTACAGTGATGTAATGCAGTGTTAAATCTGTATTTATCAGATTTTGAGGATTATGGTGAACAATGGATCAAACACACAGGATTCATGACTATTGAGCATTTGGCATGGTTTTCAAAAGTAAGTAAGTTCCAAGCACTTTAATTGAAAGATAAAACAGCACCCTGAAGCTGTTTACATCATTTAAAAAGAATGGTCATATCTTGCCCATTCTGGCAAGCTTGTTATGTGTAAGGTCCAGTGAAGCAGTATCGTACTAGTCTTACAAAAACAAAACCATGCCCTGTTGGGAGGGGGCCACATCTAAAGTCAACATGGTGGCAGGGTTCCCAGGCTCTGGAAGCACCAATTAAGACCGCTGACATGAGAATGGCAGGCCAAACTGTAATGGATGGTCTATCATACAATGTTCCACTGGCTGTATTGTCATATGCTGCCACGTTGCTTTACTTGTGATTTAATTAGCATTTATGGAAATATGTTTGCTTTGGTAATTCTGTTGAACAATAAAATGGTTCATGTATGAGAAATTACAGATATGTGAAGATAATTACTGTGTTGATTTTTACAGCTGACACTGTCGTAGTAGGAAAAGCACAGTTGTTACTAATAACTAATTAACGATGTCCCTTGTTTTCAAGTGTCAAGGTAAGACATAGCAGTGTGACAGTGAGCCAGCATGCACAATACCAGGACCCTGAAGCAGCTAAATGGAAATCAGCCATCCATTTTATTATTTACACCTGTGCTTTTACTACTGTGACATGTCAAAATGTCTTCCATGAAAAAAGGCCTATTCAGTGTAAATTTTATCTGTAGGCTAGTGGATGGACACTCGTCAATGTAATATTAACGTTTGTACTACACACACTCCGGTACACAGCACTCCTTCTCTGATAGGCTCATGGACATTTGGGCCAAGAAGAGATCATCTGCTCTGCTGGAGGGTCAGTGGTACGGGTACTTTCATTCAGCCTTGTAGTTGGGCATAAGGAAACACTTTATAGTCAACAATAAGGCACAGTCAGATCAATAGGAAATTTTATTGGGCACAGTATTTCTTGCAAACACCTTCTAAGGATACCTGGCACAAGGAAGAACTCATGCTTTTGATATAATTGAAATGGTCACATCTGAAAGGTAGTGTGTAACGTTTGTGAACTTACATCCAAAGGACATGGATCTGTATTGTTTTATTTAAGATAATTTGTCGGGGTATTTTGCAAATGTAACTACATTTTCAGAAATGGTTTAGCCCTTTGAAAGTATTGGAAGAAAAAAAATTGCAGTATTCTTTGTGTCAACAGATCCTTTTCATCAGATGGTCACTGCTGGTGTCAGATCTACAGAACAGTTTGTAGTCAGTGAGATTATGTAATTTATGACGTATTAACCACATATTTCCAATACATCTTCATTTGTTTTTTATGTAAATGTGTCTATATTTATATCCTGGAAAAAGGCAGAACACCACTTTCAAATAACACCTCATCCATGACACATGTTCATCCTCACTGGGAACATACACAACAACAATCTATCAGCAGATTTATTTATTTATTTAAATAAAATGATCAGGTCGAGGGGATGTACCCGTTTTAAGTTTACAATTTAGTGTAAGCATCAGAGTAATGGAACATGATGTATATTACTTTGTTACATATAAGTGTGTACATTTTCAGTGCACTGAAGACCACATATCTAATAAAGCAGACATGAGAAATAGATCAAAGAACCCATTCACCCTGGTCTGGATACCGGAAAATGGTCTGTGTCCGCCCGTGAGGTACATCCCCTGATATTGGGTTGTTCAATTTTAGACACTGCCTAACCAGCTCTATTTATAGTTTAATTTAGTTTGGTTTTAAAAAAAAATTCTCCTTTTCCCGCTCAAAAGGGAGTGTGGAGTATCTTAATGCACAAAGGTGTCCCCTGGCTTCTCCAGTTATCCCTATCAGTCCAGACCCCCTTCTTCTTTCACCACCATGCCTGCACTGTTCCCTGTTGCCTTGGCAACCCTATGGCCAGACCTCTCTCT